TTCAAATGAGCCTATTATCTTCTCAAATTAAAGAATACATCAGTCTAACATTCCGAAGCTTCAAAGACATTCAGCTCGCCAAATAATAATGCCAAGACGAGAAAAAGCAGCACACTTTTAAAATTAGCGCAAACCATTAAAAATGTAATGTCTTTCAATTAATAAACATAATTAAAATAATTAATTTTGCATTGGTCAACTGTTGCAGCTGTAGTTCTTTCGGAGTTAACATTCAAGACCTATGTGAACACAAATGGTTTGGAGTTTGAGCCGCGTCGTCACAGGCCTGTCATGCCTTTCCATTATTACATCATCATCATCATTATGTCTGGGAGGACAAAAATGAGAATTCCTCGCTCAGTCGTAGATATGCTCGGAATTTAGATACAATTGTCTCACTCGATACGACAATTGAGAGACGAATTAAGAGGAAAACTTGACGCAAGAAAAGCTCATACTTCCTAGCTGACAGTAACGGTGTGGCCTATATGCAGTGCGTGCTCCACAGAGCCGCGGAAACCTCTTTGATTACACACTAGTTTGATCAGTCGCGCTGTCAAAGTTGTTGGGAGACATCAAAAACTGCCCAAAACAGCCAAAATCCACTAAATAACGAGCGGAAGCATCATTTTATTGGCTTGAGACTGAAAATGTAGGCATGAACTGAAATATGCTTTGCGTCCCATCTGCTCCGCAAACTCTTAACTCAAAAAATAGCAAACGTACAATACGGCAATAAACTACGCTACAATTAAACCAGGCCACAGCTGGTCTAAATTCAAAAACCCCAAAGAGCCCTATTTACTCATTTTGTTGCCCCTGCCTTGCCTGACGTTTTCCCATTAGCAGACCGGCGTGTAATTTGGTGGCAGCCATATTTCATTTCGGGGAGCATTTCACGCGGTAATGAACATGTCTCCAAGTTAAATGATTGTGTCACCGTGTTTAAAAGATCCAATAAAAGCAAATCATTTTAATCACTCATATTTTTGTGTTAAACATTTTTATGTTAAATATGATATATTTATGTTGCTGTGACGCAGCTCAATTTGCACAAAGTCACTCCCCACTCCTTCCAGGTGCTCATGCAAAGTTGTAAAAGTTTTTTGACAAGCTTTTCTCTTAAGGCTGCCGCATGCTTCTGCGTCTGCGTCGTTGCGTTGACGCACTCGTTTCAATACATGGTTTTAAAAGTCTTGCGTGTGTTGCAGAGCAGTTCACCGCCAGAACAACAGGTGGAGTAACGTGTTTTTCTCAAAGACGACCTAGAGAGTCACGTCTTTGTGTGTGGAAGTTGTTGGTTTGTCTATTTATTTATCATAGACTTTATCGCCCCGTGCATCGCCACTGCTGCTTTTCATCGCGGACACATTTGTCCCGTATTTTCCTCCACAACTTTGTGCACCTCTCGACCGGCAAACCGACATTTGCGGCGATCTCCCTCCATGAATCCAACCCACTTATACGACCCGCCAATGAGGCTTGTAGAAGGGGTCATATTTACGCATTTCTTCTGGCAAAAGCTTATCAATCTGATCCGTTCTCTCGTAAACATTCTTCGTTTTAATAATGCCGGTGTTGTGCTATGAAAACGGAAATGTGAGACTCTGTAAAGGATGTGGTCAGCGGACCAATCACAGCCGTGTGCGCTGCAGGAGGCTTGCGTTGCTTTCGACGCAAGCCTAGAAAAATGGGTCGACGCACGCAAGGAGGTGTGAAAAGGCACGCAAGGGACACGCAAGGGACACGCAAGGGACACGCAAGGGACACGCAAGGGCGTCTTGCGTCTGCGTCGCTCTGAAAACGCAGAAGCATAAACTAGGCTTTAGAGCACGCTTTGGTAGAGTGTTCAGCATTGTCACAAATAATCTAGAGTAAAACAATTACATTCATAGATCCAGTGCGGGTGTGGATGACAGAGCATGAGTGTGTGTGAGTGTAGGTGCTTCAACAGCCATTTCAGCCTATTAGCGATCAAACCTTCGTTTTCAAAATACAAAAGGCTGAAGGCAGAGATGAGTCAAAGTCGTTGTAATTAGTTACCGCCATCACAAAACTGCTGCTGTGGAAAATTGCAGAGAAAAAGGCATTAGAGATTCTGGTGAAGTGCTTGTTGAACCAAGTGGGGACAGGTTTACTTTTTAGACCGCATGCCTTTGCCCACTTGCTGGTCGTTGTCTGCAGTCATGATACATCCTAACACAACGTAGAAAGACGATCGGTTCAAGATTCAAAGCTTGATGAACAGTTCCGTTAATTGCTATTTGTTATTTGTAAGCAACTCTCATTAAAAGTTAGGCTCAGTCCTCGGTCAACCACATTTGCTCTGCTCTTTGTATGCAGAGGTCTGACAGTTTAAAACTGGGCCTGGGAAACCGGTGGAGCGAAGTGGAGCTAATTTACAGACTGTGTCTTGCAAGAGAGTTGATGAGAAAGACAAAGCCAGACAGACTGACACATGGAGCAAAGGTGAGCGCTAATATTAGTCTGCTACCGTGAGTGACGTGTCGGTTTTGTGCCAGAGCGTAACAATTTAAACCACAATCAAAAGAAGGAAGCTCTTCCTCTGTGTATCTTTGCTGACAAAGAAATTAGCGGCAGCCGCAATTCTACCAAAGTCACTTTTTTCCCTTAGATGCCTATATTATTAAATCCCTGATGAGCACAAATGACTCAATGAGGCTCCAAAAGTTTGGTTTGATTCAATTAATATTTATTGAGAAGGCGGCAAACAGAGGGCTTCCGCCATTCCTTCCCCCCCGAGCGTTAACGCGCCCCCTCACAGAACAGCACTGAGGGCGAAAACCTCGCAAAGCAGATGGGAGAAGGACAAGAGCGGGAGCTAAATGCACGGGCACTTGACAGCAAAATGGTTCCATCCAAATGCTGAATTAGAAATTGACAGCGATTTGTCCGGGTCCCTAAAGTGTCTGCACTTGTGACCGAATAACAGGTAATATCCCCTCCATTTCAAACTGACAGGAACATCTGGGATGCTTTTAAATGTCAAACGGCTGTTCTAAGTAATAACCAGTAAGAGGCTGATGAACATTCCTCTGGTAAGTACCTCCGGCTGCTTGTGTGTGTGTGTGTGTGTGTGTGTGTGTGTAGTCGGGTTTCTGAGCCAAGCTATCTGCTCTGTCAGACAACGGCACATCAGTATTTTCAGAATGATTTTTAGACAAAGAGAAGACGGGATGGCGAGAAAATCAAAAGGCATATCAAAAGATCTTTGCGGTGTTTCTTTCGGTGATGGCAAACTTTCAACAAGCAAGAAAAAGAGATTCCCCGCTCTAATCCAATCTTTCACCTTGAACCTTTTTTTCCTTTTGTTGCTGTGTACGTTGTTCTGTGACCATTTGTTTCCTTGTTGGGTATTAAACTAGAACTTTACACTGTCTACTGGGCAAAATGAGCCTTGGAGTCAGAGTAACCGGTCATTGGAGTTCAGATCACAATTACCTTACATTACAAGACGCAGACACTAGAAATAATTGAACCGAGCCAAGAGACTAAAGTCTGGACTTTGACCCACAGATCGGGAGACGGACAAACTGGAGCCTATTCTGCAATCTGCCTTCAGGGAAGGCGTGAGAACAACCCCCAAAATACCAGGAACTATGATGAACTATGACTATGATGTCAAATTGGGTCGTCTGGTATTATTTGCTGTGTTCACGCAGAACAGCAAAACTAGCTTGATTTAAAACGCACGTCATATAATTAGGACGCCAAGACACCATTTACATTACAGCTCAGCAAGTGTTAGTGCTTAATACTCTCAAGCTCCACTCTGCATGATTATGAATGAGTGGAACCGCTCCTGTCGATGGGTCCTGCTTGGAACAGGTAGCATGAAGCGTTGTTGACTCGAGCTCCTCTGCTAATGAGCTTGATTGTTGGTTTTTGAACAGGTACAGATTCATTTAACAGAGCGACGCTGACAAAATGTTGTTCTTTTGTTCCCCCCCCCCCAGTAGTTGTGTTTGGACACGCATATCTTCAGTGGGAGAGGATGCAATGGAAAGAAATTAAATAGGACGACACAATGAGGCAGTGCTGCCCATTCAATTACACCTTAATTTAAATGTTAATTTTTATGTCAAATCAAAGCCTCCTGCTCAATGCTGTTCAGCAATTCTAACCATGCACACCTCCTAAATGGTTTATAATTCTAAGAGACATGATGGTGGCATGCCTTTAATTCCTAAATGAAAACAGAGGGGAGACAATTATGGCGCAGATGGAAAAATACATCGCGTATATTCAAATAAGCCGAGCTCTAATTTGAGCATGTGCCCCCCAGCATAAGTAGAATAGTTGGGGGGGGGGGCTATTTGACATGCAGCCCATACCCCCGGTAGTTAGTAGTTCTTAGGCAACAGGTAATTAGAGGAGATACTGCTGCCGTTTTCTGCTGGTGAATCATTAGTCAGATTCCAGTATTAACAGCCCGAGAGACAAGCAGCACATCAGCGTCTGGGACAACGAGGAGCAGGAGACATCTGCACGGTGCGTTACCCCCTCGTTACTCTGCAGCTCAGGACATTTCCTTCTTCCGTTGCACTACTCCAGAATATTTTACCAAACGGGCATCCAATTAGAACTATATGTTTGCGTCGCCACTTTGCAGATGGCACATTTGAAGAATAAAAAAAAGAAAGGGGGCAAAAAAAGGATGAACATAGCATGATGACACTCAAAATACACTTACGGACAATTCAACACAAGCAAGATTGTTATTTAAATCTTCTACGACAGGGTTCACTGCTAAAGTTACAAAACTAATTTACAATGCACTACAGAAAAGTGGCTAATTTGGAAATAATCAGTCAAAATTAGAGAAGAAACACTGAAAGATTGTTAACTGGTGAATTGGAAAATTTCGCTGAACGAAGAAAAAAAAATACCAACGAAACTTTAGAAAACACCCACATTAGATAAATAATGGTGGATCAGCGTCCCATTCACACGTGAACAGGTGGCCATGGAGATCGTACCTTTGCTGTAAGCGTCATGGAGCAGAGTCTCTGAAGCGCCGCCCCACTGCACTCCGGCACAGGGAAGCTTGCAGTAGTTTGGCTTCATCATGGGTCCTGCAGAACGAAGGAATAAAGAAAAAACATTGGGACTCAGAGCTGTGCGACTAAAGCACATCATTGATACAAAGCACATCTCCGTTTTGGAAGCCGAAGAGCGGCCCTAAGGCAGCTTTCGAGCTTCAGCACTCGTTTCGGCTCGGCTGCTGCTCCTGCTCGGCTCAGGATGAAGCAGAACAATTGAGGGAGGGGGGAAGGGGGCTTTCGGCTCAATATTGGGTCATTAAACAAAACACACTGTGCTTTTTTTCTTCCTCCCCCAATCGGGTACGTAAAAGCGTGCATAGGAAGCGAAATACCTTCCAGCGTGGATGTTGTAACGTTGCACTAATTTGCTGCCTACCAGGCGTGGAGGAGGAAATGATTACTTCTGTGATTATCTTTCCAGAGCTGTACAATCAAAGCTCAGTGGAGTACAGGGACATAAACCACCGTCTCTGCATTTTAAACCCTCATCTTAAGCTTGTTCTCTTGCACACTCATATTCTATACCCTGTGGCAAAAAACGTTCACACTTACTCAACCCCTTCGCTCGTTTGGGTTTTTTCACACCGCTGAGATGATGAGCACACAATGCTGCTTTTAATCCCAACAGAAGAAGAAGAATAAAGAAAAAAAAGAAAAAAACGTTTTAAATGAAGGGGCGGCCTACAAGGGCGGACTACTGTGAATTAGTGTGAAGAATTGAAAATAAGAAGAATATTAATAATATAACCAAAAGGACACATCCCAAAGCCGGCCGCTCACTAATTAGAGCCAGAGAATGAAAGAAGCTCTATAGGCCGCTGACACAGAACCGGCTATTCACTGCAGCATGGGGGACCATCACACACACTGCTACACACCCAGCAGGAAGTGGATCCTTTCAGAATGAAAAACAATGCAATGTATTTCTTGTGTTTTTGTTTCTCCTTATTGCCTCGTTACAGCGGTCAGATCTGTACAGAGGGAATGCCGGAGTTGATGCGATTTGTGTAAGAGCTTCTTCAGCGTGTGGATTATCCCGGCTGTTTGGAATCAACAAATACAAGAATGAGCCGATGACTTGGCGGGGGTGTCATTTTTCATTTTGCCGATCTCAGCCGCTAGAGACGTGGCCTGGTGACTGGGACTGAATCCGCATCGGCGTTTCACTTTGACCGTTCAGCCGGAAGCTTTCTTCGCTTTCTAGTCTTGTTCGCCAAACGGACAAATCAGCACCTCTAGCGACCCATTTCACGGTACAGCAGCAAAAATTTCCCCACAGGGATTTGATGTTGTCCTGCTTCCTGTGACGTTTAGGAGGTACCCGTGATCCCTTTTATACAGCGGAAACCATCACTGTCCGCCCGAGGCCCGTTACGGATATGGAAACTCTGTCCCGAGCCAAACCTCGGACTGGCCTCCCTCCGCACTCATCCACACCCTTTCTCAACATCCGACTCGCATTTGCAGAGAAGCCATACGCGGTAATGACAATCGATGGGGGTGTTAAAAGTATTGGCAGTGCAGGCCGGGAGCTGCGGTCGGTGCCGTCTTTATTAGTCCGGATAAAGGAGTGCTGGTCTCAGGCCTGCCAGCTCCAAATAGGAGAGCATTGATCAGAAGGTGAGGTAGGATTTCGCCCTTTCATTGCCCGCGTCACTCCTCGTTCTCACTGCAACGGCTGTCGCCTCCAGGGTTAAGGCGCGCACACCAGATGCACGACTTTGCATAATAAGATATGATGAGAACATGTTAATCTGATCATTCGTGTATACATTCCCCAGAGTTACTCAAATTTTGCTGAAACTCAGCTACCAAATATTAAAGCGGCTATAAGATGGGACGCAATACATCTTTAAAATGATGCAGAGAGCATTTCTACAATATAATTTAGCACTTTAAAAAGTACATATACTGCTACTATGACAGAAAAGGTCAGATTCCTTGACCACTTCCCAATAACTTAACCACACGTTAGAACACTATGGTCCTGAGCCTTGTGTTTGTTTGACTCATCTACCCACACCATCTTCTTTTCTTCAGGGCTTTATACAGTGTTATCACACTCACAGAGAGCACCCTCTGAGCATTGGATAATGACACTGATGGGTTTACTCTGTAGTTACTAGAAAGCCTGGCAAAATACGGATGCTGAAGGGTGCTTTGTGGGACAAGATTAACTACCAAGGGGCGGGACAAAGGGGCGGCATGTCACTCTCGGACATTTGTGTTAATGTGCTGCTTTGCTCAAATTATATTTCATTTTGTGCATCTAGTGTGGACTAAATATTGAAATGTTTTTTTGCCTCCATGCGCATACACAGGGAGCAGTTATTACTTTGTTATATTACCAAAGAGAATTCTTCTCCTACTTCAATAGTATACAGCTTAATAACTTAATTCACTCATCATACATTCACTAGGGAAATAAACATATTTATAAGTAAAGCTTTCCAACAAGTTACCTGCTTATGTAGAACAATTTCTTTTTCAACAGCACTGGAGCGCTGTGAGGCGGGAAACCAGTCAAATCCTTTCACACATTAAGCAGATGTCTGGCTGCCTCCGACGTGGAGCTCTGTCAGAGCTGTATCCTGGCATTAGGACTGGAGTCATTTCAAAGGTCTTGGCAGCTAATCAGCCGCTATCTTTCATCAAAAAGAGTTAAAGTGACAAGGCTAAGCCCATCTTTACAAAAAACGACCAGGGTGAGATTGTGTTTCGCTTGTACAGTCATTCCAAGCGTAGATGTCTGATGGGCTTGAGAGGAATCAAACAAATAGACCCAGTGTGACATTTCTGGCTCTAAGCCTGCAGCAGTTTTTTTTGTTATTTTTTCTAGATGCAACACCAGTAAATTAAAACTTTTTTTTTTAAAGGTTTGCTTGGTATGTCGCTCCTTCTATAATCCGACAAATTAAAAAAAAAGACCATTTCGGATAAAATCAGAGAAGCAAGAAGCACAGATGCAGACTAATCAAATCCAAACAAACTTGAGACATTGGGGCTTAGCAGCGTTTCTTACCCTACCTCACAAAAAATTGCAACATGCAGACGCAGGTCATGGGACACAAAGGGTGACTCCTGAAATAACGTTGCGACCGCTTTCTTTTTGGCATAATCAAAGAATCTGAGGTTCTGGTTCAAATCACCAGAATATGAACCTGCCCCCCCACCCGTCCTTCCTCCAACCGTCGATTGTGGCGGCCGGCTTGTGAAATGAGTTATCTTCACACCTTTGGGAGACTTTGCATGAGATCAACACACGCTGAGGTCAGCTGAGGCAGATTAACCCCTGAAGCCGGACTCTACGAGGCCTAAATGGCCGAGAGGTACGTTGCACAGAGGTCGGACCAGTTCCAAACCGCAATTCAGTCCCCCTGAAGGGGAACAGTGCACTTATGTTCATACTGCAAGGTCACTGGGAGGATTTCATTAATCTTCTATGTTACATAGATACCTGCAGCAATTCCCATGTAGCACTGGTCCACTGCTCAATTTCTAAAGCCTGCTGGGAGGCGGACGGCGAGCGCTCCCGTACTGTCATTTAAACGGGTGTATTTTTAAACCCAAAAAGGTAGCTGATGTTTAACCCTAAGGAATAGATTTATTTTTAACAGTCATTTGAGTGAGGTGTAACAGATGGAAGAGAGGACCTCCACCAGGCAGGTGACTGTAATTAAGTTGCTATGCCAACTGAATGTCTTCATCTCCACATTAACGCTGCCCTCGTGTCGACCCCTGCAGCGCACACCCAGTTGCAAATAAGAGTGCGTGCACGTAGAATTATCTAGCAGAAAGAAACATTCAATTACAAAAAACCTAACTCTCCCCGGTTGACATCAGCGATCATTATTGTACAAAGCGAAAAAATATTCTTCCTTTTATCGGCCATTTACCGGTATGTGGTGTTATTTTAAGAATGGCAACAGGCAGCAGGAAAATTGTTTCTCTTGAGAATCCACATCCAAAATAAACATCCATGATGCTATTTTAGGGATGAATTGAAACAATGTTGTTGCACAATACACTTCTGTCATCTGAACTTTCCGAACATTTCTGCCAAAACAGAAAATGCACAGTCTAGTTAGACAGATTTAGTGGATGAAATCAAAACAGGGCCGGGGCAATTATACAACAGACCCAAAATTAAAACAAACGAACAAATGAATGAAAAGATGATACTGGGGATAATACATCGCTTTGATATTAATAAGAAAAAGGGGTCAGAGGTGGACTGCGATGGGTTTACATTCACGCTAATGAGGGGATAAGGGGGAGGTGGATATCAGGACGAGATCTACTGCAAAAGAGTGTGTTTTTGCGCTGTAAAAACGTTTGCTTTTACAATTTAAAAAACTTTAAAAAATAACTACCAGGTGTGCCAGCTGATTACAGAGTTGCCTTCATTGGAGGATGATGTCACAGTCACTCACGGAGTGTTTGTGAAATCAAAGCAAAAACTGCGACCCCCTACTTCTTAGTGAAGCATTTGTCACTCGCAATGTTTCCTCTAAGGAACTCCGGATGTGTGCGTGACACGTTGTTGCTTTCTCTTTTGGCCCAGCTCATTTACTGGAGTAATACAACCACAATGAAGCAATGCCTTCGTCCTTTTGGAGTACTTGTTCTTAAATTGGTATTTCCTGTGGTGTATTGCAATGACCCGTAGCTCTGAATCTTTTTATAATATACCACGCGTCGACAATTTTTTATAATCTACGTCGTCGATTAATCGTTGCAGCCCCAATAGCAATGGGTTTTGGTTTTGAAAGTTAAATAAAACCGATCCAAAAATGTACATTTTCTTATTCGGTAGTGTTGCATAGTGTGCTTCAACAACAACATTATCACAAAACAATTAGATCAAACAGCTTGTTGTTTTGGCTTGTTTTGCCGGACCAACAGATAATTAGTTTATCATAAAACAAAGAAATACTGCAAATTCTTTGAAGTGAAATTTAGGATATTTGGAATTGTGAATTGGAAATTTAATAAAAGTATTGATAGAATCAAAACAGTGAGCCACTCAT